TGTCTCTCCCGATAATCCATAAACCTGCGCAAAATAATGCCAGAGAGCACCTTAGATGCAACGGATACCAGGCTGATACCATGGTGGTTTTCACATGACATTCTGGCTCCCTTTTTGAAAACTGGGATGACGGTCGAGGAACCTCATTAGGCTGGTATTGTTTTCGTTCCAGATCTGCAGTATGGTTGTCAGACTGTCCAGCAGGACCTCCCCACCTTCATTGAACAGCGCGGGGTGTAGACCATCCGGGCCAGGTGCTTTATCGTGCTTCAGGATTGAAATCGCACGCTGGATTTCGGTTGCTGATGGTGGGTTGGTGTCAATGTTCCATTCGGGCCCGCTTCGTTCTTCCAGCGGTTGTGTTGAAGGAGACCAGGTGAGAGTTCTTGAGAGTGCTCAGCTCACCGCTCAAGACAGCGATTGAGGAAGGGAATTTCTGTTCTGCCTTTTTCGCATATTGTCTAACTGACATCTGCCTTCTCTTGACCCGTCGATCTGATCAGCTGAAACAGGGCGCCGCTGTTGCCCGCAGCCGAAACCTTCTCCATCTCATGGGCCTTCGAAATCCACCAGCGTTCTCTGTCATTATTCAAGCTCCTGATTATCCAGTGTTTGAGGGATCTGCGTGCGCCATCATAGTCGCTAGTTGCTGGTATGGGCTTTCTGGCAGCAATAAGATATGCTGATCTCGAAGATATCCAGTATTCATTGAGTCGAGTTGGATGGATTAGACAAACAGTTCTAGAAGCTGACAGCATCGCTTCTCTAACTCGCCTTCATTCATCCTCCAAGAAATCTTCGTCCACATGACTGTCCGTTTCCAGTAGCTTTCTAGCCAGATCAGCTCGATACTCTTGAGCTATTAAAACTTGCAGAAGTTTATGAACGGATCTCTTTGGGCACGCGTAGTGCTGGCGGAAAGCGAACTGCTAAGCGGGCCCGCACTACGGTGTGATGAGGGTCAAGTTGCATACCCTAGAAGGAACGACAAACCTTAACTGAGGCTCTTCATCGGTAACTGATGGCCATATGGTCTAATTGAGTCCACGGCTGTCTTGTGGTAGCGGGCCTCCAAGGAACTCGGTGTGTGCGTTTGTGCTGGGAGTACGTACTTGTCAGGAACAGGCGATGATCTGCACACAACTGAAGAAGCCGCTCTCTATTATCCCTACAGCATCGATCGACTCCAAGTCTATAACCTAACTGTGCTTCTTCCGGACCTAGTCGTCCAACTTGGGCATTCATATCACCCACCAGGTCATTTTGTCCCACAACTGAAGAAGCCGCTCTCTATTATCCCTACACTCAGCATCGACTCCAAGTCTATAACCTAACTGTGCTTCTTCCGGACCTAGTCGTCCAACTTGGGCATTCATATCACCCACCAGGTTTGTCATTTTGTCCTTCTTGTCGGCCGAAGCAGTCGTGAGAGATCTTGATAGAACTCGCCCTTCTCAGTCTCAGAAATAATATGTGCCGGGGCTTATGCTGATACAACAGACAAACACCGTTTACCACTTCGCTGGGGCGAGATGGCTTAGTGGGTACAGCGCGGATTTATTGACAGGAAGGTCCGCGTTTTGAACGCGACCTGTCTTTCGATTTCCCTTGTCTAGGCTTGGGCAACCTGGCAGTATCCCAGCCCTCGGGCCTCCTCCGAGTCGTATGGCAGCTAGTTACCGGAAGGGTGCAGCAGATGAAGGTTTTTTTTACCACGGATTGAACCAGACAAGCGCACAGCGCAAAGGCCACTGTTTAGTGGGATCCAGACAAAATCAAGCTGGTCCCAGTCACGTGATCCATGCGCGAACATACGAGGCCTAACGGCACAAGCTTTGACGTGGCGAACGGCGTGAATCCAAGGGCCGTCGTCTGGCTTCTTTTGGACTTTCCCGTTAGCACCTCCCTAAACAGAACACCTCCGCTTTTACTGAGTCATAAACAACGTAAAAATATGATCTAAAGCAACCTAAAATTAAGTTTGAAGCGAGATTTCGTAAAAAACTAACGCCGACTTCGTGCCAAACTCCTATTGGGAGAAGTCGTCTAGCTGGTCAAAAATGTTTGTTTGAAGAGAGGGCTCACACTGTTCAAGGCACGTGGGCATGTTTTAGAATGTCAAGCTCATGTATTAACTTTAAAAACGCCAAACTACACATACCTCATGTGGGCAAATGGGGATCTCCTGGAATAAATTCTCCAAACTGTTTCGGACCATTTTATCGCTTGCTTCGACAATCCATCTTATCTTAATTCGTGCGCTTTGAACATTTAACCTGTTTTTTCTTGGCTTGTGCACAAACGCAATTTGTATGCAAGCGCCTCCTTGCTTGCGAACAACTGACAAATCAGAACGCCGGCATGTGCATGAACCGCACGCCAGCTAGGACATATTGTATGACCTTCAGATTTCAGTTTCACGTTTTTCATGTCCTCGACCATGAACCCAGTATTCGCACTATGGAATTGATATTTCGACAGCCATGATGTGTCCTCAATGGATTAAAGCAGTCGTGAAAGTAGGTTGAGGAAACCAGTCCAAACTTTTGAACATCGTTTAAGCGTCCCGGTGTCTCAGTTGCTTTTCCAGATTCTATGTTATTGTTTCTTATTTTCCATTATTTTCAGTTTCTTATCACGTACATGGCAAGGTCCTCAAGCGTTGCACTACACCTTATGTGTTATAATCCGTAATTTTCGTATTGTAACAGCCTAATTTTATTATATTTGGTATGTCTCTTAAAAGCTGAAAAATACTAACAAGTGTGCTTCTCTTTCCTCGGTCTTCGCGGCACTCAGGTTGTGTCGATTCCTGTGGCTGTCCGGTTTTCGCGTATTGCTGGACACTCACAACTAACATCATTTATTCAGCATTTATTCTTACTGTACAGTTATGATCACGCCTGACGCACTGCCACTTACCAGCTTGGAGAGGACGTCATCACTAATAGTCTTTGTGTTGTGAATGCTGGCTAAAAATTTGTTTGTGCTGCTTTCGATTCCTAATCTGAAGTGGCGCAATCGGGAATGGTTAAACGTTAACCCGGAGGCTGAGCATGTAACACCCTACGAAATATCCTACGAAAGATTGCTGCGAAGCAATCCGCCTTCTTGGGGGGGGCCACGTGGTGTCTACTTTGTTCGATGGAGGTCATGCCAGCTAATCCAGCTGCTGTCCAGATTGTCACAAATGAGTCAGGGGCATCTTGGAATGATAGCATTGGACTAGCACCAGCTCCTATTGGCACACATTTTTAATCTTTTCTTCACAATAAGTCCTCGATCAAATTTTGGTTGTGCAGAAGCGAAGCTTTGGTGGAAAACTCAGGTGACGCTGTGACTGATTATGGCAATGGGGATTTACGTCGCAGAATATGGCTTTTTATTATAGTCGCTTGAGACGCACTGGTGACAAGGGCTAGTTACCTTCAAATTTAGCGCTGTCAGGTTATTTTCGTTGATCGAGCTAAGGGAACTTCTTTGGGGATTTTTCAAGGATTGTTAAGTAAGCCAAAACGGGAACGATTTAACGGGAATCCCATCGCTGAAATAATGTACATACGTTTTGCTATAACACTCTTCCGGTGGTCCGCCGATGGCTGTTGCAGTGTATGTCACTGAAGCCTATGTGCCGAGCAGAAATACCAAAGCTGG